TTTTCTATGGTGTTTTACAGAAATAATATAATTTTAAAATTTTTTTATTTTTTAAAAATCTAACCAATAAATACTAGTTGCATGCTCTAGTAGCTTGTGGGTTTTTTAACTTGAGCTTGGAAATATTTTTGAGCTTAAAGTTGAGTTCAAAGTCAAGCTCGTTATCATTCAAACTCAAGTTCAATCAAGTCCAATTTGAGCTATATATGGTCAAGTAACTCAGCTAATTTTGCAACCTAATAATAGGTCTTGTAAGGGTAAAAGAATTTTACTTACCTTTGAGTTTTCCGACATAACAGGTTTAGGTTGAGAGAAATAAAAAAGAAAGAAAAATAATTTTTTATTTAATTATTAAAAAATTAAAAAGAATGAGAGGGACAATTTTTTTTTTATTTTTTAAAAAAATTTAATTATTTATTCAAAGAAAGAAAAATGAGGGGAGAAGAATAGAGAGGGATAAAATAATATAATTTCCCTTTTTTCTATATTTTTTCAATCCAAACATAATGTTAGTCATAAAGATATTGTCTTATTTGTTATTCTATAAATTATTAATTTACTCTTTTCATTGAACTTTAATAAGTTTAATTTTTAATTTAGAGTATTTTAATTTAATTATTTTTTCTTTTTAAAGTGTCATTTAATGTATTTATTTATATCTTATTTTTATTTTAAAATGATAATTACAATATATATTAAATAAAAAATTTATTTAAGTAATGAGTAATTAAAAATAAATATAAAATTTTATCCATTAATTATTATATTCTTATTTTATTAAAAAAACCCTATACTTTCTAAAGGTTAATGGAGGCAGTATTAAATTATTACAAGCTCTATTTAAAATTAGGTGTATTTTTTTACACTTTTTTTGCATGCAATTTTTCTATCCCATAATAATAGTAGATGTTTTTTAATTTTATCTTCAAATTAAGAATTTATGGATAATTTTTATTTTTATATATTTTATCCTTAAAAAACAAAGAAAATTTTTAGGATATAATAAATAATTAAATTAAGAGATAATGATAAGGTTAAAATAATAAAAAATATTTATCTTTTTAAAATATAAAAAATTATTATTCTAAAATAAATTCTAAATAAAAAATGTATAGGAGCAGTATATGGTATACAAATAAAAATTGAAAGAAAAAATTCTTTATGCAAAGAATTTTTATTGAGTAATTCCACTTGATAAAAAAAATTTGTTTATCACTTATTTTTCTATATAAAATTCCCAATAAAAAATGAAAAAAAATAAGACAATTAATTTTAACCAGAGCAAGTACATTTCCAAAATTTTATTATGAATTACAAAGGCTCGAATTGTAATTTCAAGGAAAATTACTTAATTGTAGAGGATGAGAGTCATGAAACAAATGAAGTCCCACATGTTTGTTGAGGATATGAACTTTTTTCATGTATAGACCATGGAACAATCAAACACTTAAAGCCTGTTTAGTAAGGCTGGAGTTTTTAATAAAAGTTTTGGTAGAGAGAATTTGTTGTGGATGTGCTGTTTTTGAAAAGTTAGAAGTGTTTGATAAAATTTTTAATAAAAATACTTGTGGAGTGAAAAGTTGTTTG